ACAAAAAGGTAGGGTGAAAGAGGATCCCCTTGTCTAATCTCTCTGTTAGAGCAAAAAAAACCTTCAGGAGAGCCATCCACCATTACTGAAAATGATGGAGTAGACAAGCACTCTCCAATCCATTGAATCCAAGTATAAGGAAACCCCATGCAATGTAGAATGAAGTAGATGAACTCTCTGTTTAAACTGTCAAAAGCTTTTTTGAGATCAACCTTCAAACAAACTCTTCTTCCCATAGTGTTGTTGAAATCCCTAATTAACTCATGTGGAAGAAGGGTGAAATCACTGATTTGCCTGCCTTTGAGGAAAGCATTCTCATTTAAAGATATAAGATCATCGATAACCATTTGCAATCTATTTGTAAGGAGCTTTGTGATCACCTTATATAAAAGGTTGCAACAGGCAATAGGTCTAAAATCAGAGAGTGAGCTAGCATTAGTAGACTTAGGGACCAGAGTAAGAAAAATGTGGTTCAGCTGTCTAACCAATTTTTTGTGTTTGAAGAAAAATCTGACTCCTTTGCATACATCTGTACCATTAACATCCCAGTGAACCTGATAGAATCTTGCATTGAAGCCATCAGGACCTGGAGCTTTATCTGGGTTCATCTGAAACATAGTAGCTTTGATCTCAGAATCAGTTACATCTCTAATGAGCCAACCAGCAGTCTGTGGTGATAAAATCCTTTTAACTATGAGTTTAGGAAAGACATTCCAATAGCAATTCTAGTTATATAGTTGATTGTAAAATTTAGGTGCTTGGAGTCTTAACATAGAAATATCAGTAGTAGAATGTCCTTCTTGATCGAGAAGATTAGAAATACAATTCTTACTGTATCTATTTATCATCGATGAGTAAAAGAATCTACTATTTCTATCCCCCAAATTGAGCCAAAGATCCCTACTTTTTTGCCGGAGTTGATCTTCTTCTATATCCAACCATTGATTAAGTTTAATTTTTAACTGAGATTCCTTCTCATGCAGTGTTTGATTATTAGGATCCTGGTCCAAAAATTTTTGAAGATCATTGAGTGCCTCCCTTACCATAAGTATATTAGCTTTAGGAGACGAGAAACCAGTGCTACACCAAGCTTTCAACTGCCATTTAGTATTCTCCAATTTCTGGATGACCTGATATAAAGGATTTCCTTGAGGTTGAACAACACATGCCTCCCCGAAGACCTCATGATAGCCCTGACAATTAGACCAATAGTTGAAATACTTAAAAGGTTTGGGATAAGATGGAATAGAAGTGATTTGATATAGAAGGATATGGGAATGGTCACTAGTAGCTGCATTGAGATAGACATAATAAGAATCCGGGAAGTGATCAATCCATTTAGAATTGCCAAGCATTCTATCAAGCCTTCCTGTGATTCTTCTTTGACCATGAGAGCTATTGTTCCAAGTCCAAGCACCACCTGTACTCCTGAATCAGATAGACTACAAATGTCCAAACAATCATTGAATTCCTTAAGTTTATCCATAGTTAATCTTCGACCTCCAACTTTTTCATTAGTATATCGTGCCGTGTTGAAATCTCCCAGGATAGCTCAAGGGGAATCAGAAATCAAGGTAGAGATAGAGATTAACTCTTTCCATAGGTAAGATCTATGAGAGTGGAAATTTGCACCATATACCACGGAAACATAGATTGGAAGCCCCCCTTTGTTCAAGCATTCAAGCGTGATCTGTTAAGATGAAGAAGAGATGACGTGACAAATCCAAAAATTAGGATCCCATAATATCTAGATTCTTCCCTGAGGACAATGGGAATAATTATTAGTACATAGCCAATTTGGAGGAAAACACCTTGTAACTCTGAAAGAATTATGTTCTTTAACTTTAGTTTCCACTAAGCCTACAAACGAAGGGGTCCATTTTGATAGGTGATCCTTTAAATCTTTCCTTTTTACCTTCTTGTTAAGACCTCTTGCATTCCAGACCAATAAAGACATCTAATGAAAGTGGGAGGTCCCTTTGAGCCTAACACTTCTTCTCAGGGAATCAGAAGAAGACATTTCCATACCTGTAGAATTTTTTTGTGAAGCTTTGGTTTGCTTGTACTGAGAGATTTCTTTACCCCATTCGGGATTTGGTAGAGAGATGGGTTTTGGAGGAAAAGAGATATCGACTATATCAAAAGTATCAGTTATATTAACCTTAGACTGTATTCCCCCCTGCTCTGAAACTTGAACTTGAACTGGTTGATCAGATGAAAACTGGTGGAGCAATGTCTTCGGTGTCTCAACACTTGGCAAATTGGAGATCCCTGCAGTAAAACTCCCCGAAATAGGCATAGAAGACCCTCTATCCTTCTTATGAATGCAATCTGAATTATATCCTATTGAACCTGTAACATCAACTTGAGCAATATCCATAGTATAAGCAGTGTCTGTTTGAGGAAAGTTTGAATCTGAAGCAACTGCTAATGATACCTCTTTATCCGTAGGTTTGTTAGCAATTGGAGTGATGATTACATGACTATCAGAATTTGAAAGCAAAGTGTCAGAACAAGCTTTGATTGGGCTTGAGCTACAGTTCCCTGTGCCCCAAAAATAACACCAGAAGGAGGAGAAATATCAGCATGAATTGCTAAAACAGAAACAGAAACTGGCTAACCCTGAATATCTAAAACAGAAATATCAACAGTAACATCTGAATCTATAATATCTATAGTGGAAGCCATTGGTCTTGTACCAGAGGTATCATAATTTTCTGAAATTAGCTTTGGATGGGCTTGAACTTCATAATTTTGCAAAGGATCAGGCTTTGATTGGGCCTAAGCTATAAACCAATGGTCATATTTTAATTTGACATGTAAATCTGAGCAGTCTTCTGAAAACTCATTAACAGTAACATTAGTAGCCCTCCCAGGACTTTGTCCAATATTCATCATATCAGGGGTGGTCTGAGCTGAAACTTTAACATTAATACCACAAGCGGGGTTGTTAACAAGGAAATTTGAACTCTCAACACTCTTCTCATTAACTGATTTATCCTTCACAGCTTTTGTATGATCATTACTCTTGTCAATATTCATGTTAGATTCAGAATTGCCAGACACATTGGAAGATGGTATAGGCTGCGCTGACACTTGCTTTGGTACCCACTTCTCAACTGTGATAGTAGGACATTGACTTTCCAAATGCCCAAAATTAATACATTTAGAACACCGTGGAGGGATCTATTCATATTGAAATGGAATATCTATCCACTCATCATTGTCTAGCTCTAATTTTACAGTCTTAGGAAGTTTTGCAACAACTGAGATTTTCACAAAACATCTTGCAAAAGCCAAATGCTCCCCTGAAGCACTAGCATCATATATGTATAAAGGGATACCAATCAAACTGGCAGCCTTGCTAATTATGCTTTGAGACCAAAACTTTAGGTGCAAAGATGGGAAACGTATCCAAACTGGAACTGAAGAGAGGAGATCCCTCTCCAATCCAATACTCTCTGTCCAAGGCTTCAAAATAATAAGCCTTCCGTCAAAAAGCCAAGGGCCTTCATTCAGAATACGCTCATATTCTTCACGACTATCAAATTTGAAGAAAAAATATCCATTCTCTCTCGAATAGATTTCAAGAGAACATTTCAGTTTCCATGATCTATCAACACACCCCTTGAGTTGCGAGTAAAAAGGCTTATTACCCAGGACATAACCAACAAGAGTTTTACTCCACTTCTTAACATTGACATCAATTTCAGCTCTAAAGATAGAGGCATAAAGATATCCTTGTTTATCTTTCAATGGAATATCATAGTTTAAAGTGTTGGATTGAGATACCTTTCTCCCGAGGGAACAAACATCTTTTCACGAAGTCGGTGTTGCACCAGATGCAAAACGCAATGAAGGTGCAGGCCTTGTTTCAGAGGGATTGAGGGGGGATCTTCGAACAACTCTGCTAATCTGCAACCTTTGAGTTGCTTGTTCAGATCCAGATCCATCTTGGAATGGTCTCGTCCTCCTCTTCCGCCTGACAACGGGAATCTAATCATCATCACCAAGTTCCGAATGAATGATGTGCTCCTTCCCTTTGACTGAGGCAATCAGAATTCCTCCCAGAATGGGAGGAACCCTAGAGTTCAGATCGCCTGGCCTACATATATATATATGGAAGAAGTGTTCCTAAGGTGACGCCTTAGATAATCATCTAAGGACGCGGCCTAAAATCACATGATTGAGCTACATTGTGGATGATTCGCTCTGTTAAACTTGATCTACATACTCTAAAACCCCAACACACTAAGTTTAGGATGAACCCGTTGTCGTTTGACCCTTTATCCACTCGTATCAATTTTAACGGTTTCGAATGAATAAAACTTTTTACATGGCTCGACGGAGGGTCAAATGACGATGGGTTCAACCCAAACTTGGTGTGTTGGAGTTTTAAAATATGTAGATAAAGTTCAATGGAAATGATCATCCACAATATAGCTCAATCATGTGATTTTAGGCCGCGTCCTTAGATGATTATCTAAGGTGTCACCTTAGGAATATTTTTCCATCTATATATATATAT